TTACTATGATTTTACAAATTTTTTAAGATATGGTTTCAGGTTTCTTATAAGCCAAAGCCTCTATAGTTGTTTACTTTTCTAATTTTTTTAAAGAACTTTTTTATTATGGGTAGTAGCCTTTTGGCACCGAGTGCTTAGCATATAATAGTATAAAAATTGATTTTAGATTGGAATGATTAATCACTTTTAGTTTAAAGCTGACAAGATTAGAGATAGTCATCTTAGAGGTTTGGTCACATTAAATGTCGTCACATTAAATGTCGATCATTTGATGATCCAATTAGGAGAGTAGATGTTTTAGATTTAGCTTATGTTAAGAAAAACGAAATAGACCTAAAAAGACTTGGGTTATTGTATGAAAAATGATCTTAGTTTATTAAAATTAAATTAAATATGACACTTTGATAGAACACAATGGAGAAAAATGGTTCATGTGGTCGACCCTACTTAGTGGGATAAAGACTTATTGTTGTTGTTGTTGTAGTTTAGAGTAGACTGTAAAGAAATGGTAATAAACTCAATCAAAATCTCATTATTCTGTCGTTGTGTTTTAATAGATCTTGATCATTTGAGCAGAGGCGATACGACAAAAACAACAAGCTTTTATCCTGCTAAATGGGGTCAACTACATGAATTCCTGTTCTCGATTGTGTTCTATAGAGTTCCATATTTTCATTTAGTGTTAATAAATTAAAATCATTTTTAATACAACATGCCCAAGTCTTTTTAGGTCTACCTTTACCTTTCTTAACATAAGTCTAATCTAAAGCATCCGCTCTCCTAATCGGATCATCAGGCGGTCGATGCTTAATCTGACCAAACCGTCTAAGATAACTCTCTCTAATCTTGTCAGTCTCCGGAGCTACACCAACCTTTTCATGCATACATTTGTTTCGCATTCTCTAATTTTCAAGTCACTAACCACCTAAGCATTTTCATTGCAACAACACTTAACTTGGTTTCATGCTTCTTTTTTTAAAGGTCAACATTCCTACCTCATAGAGCATTGCAGGTGTTACCACAATTTTATAAAATTTTTCTTTAAATTTGAGCGTACTTTTCTATCACAACAGGCTCGATACAGTCCTCCACTTCAACCAACTAACTTGAATTTTGCTAGTAACATCCCATCTTTTTGAACATAGCTTTGAACAATAAACCGAGAGACCTAAAACTTTCACACCTTAATGATTTGTTTACCCATTTTTACAACTTTGCCACTAGATCTATTACTACTAAAAATATTTTTCATGTATTCAATTTTTGATTTACTCAAACGAAGGCCTTTAGACTCTAATTTAGACCTCCATAATTTTAGTTTTGCCTAAACTATTTTCTACTCTTATCCACAAGAAGGATATCATCAGCAAAAATCTTACATCAAAGTACATCCTCCTATAAATTTTCAGTAAGAGCACCCAAAATTAAAGCAAAAGGATGCGGGCTTAAAGAAGATCCTTGATGTAATCCAACTGAACTAGGAAAATACTTGGTCAATACTTCTTCTGTCAGAACACAATAACTTTAGTATACATATCTTTAATGACTTGAATGTAAGTCATATTAACACCTTTCTTTTCTCAAACTCTCCAAAGAACTTCTCTTGGAACCTTATCGTAAGTTTTGTTTAAATCAATAGAAATCATATGTTGATCCTCTTTACTCTCTGTAATTCTCCGTCAAACCTCAATAAATATATAGCTTACATAGTTGACTTGTCGGACAAAAATCCAAACTGATTATGAGAAATCTCTGTATCACGTCTTAACCTATGTTAAATTACTCTATCCCATAATTTTAAAATGTGACGCATTAACTTAATTCTTCTTTAATTTGCATATTCTTGTGCATTACTTTTATTCTTAAAATGAGGACCAAAATATTATTCCTCTATTCGGACTTCTTTTTTAGTTTTTAAAATAATATTAAAAAGTTTAGTAAGCCAAGAAACTCCTAAATCTCTTAAATATTTTCGCACTTCTATTAGGATATCATCAAGTCCTATTGATTTTTCACCTTTGATTTTTTTTAAAGCCTCGTCAACTAAAATGACGTAAAGATCCTTATTATTAGATATGCGTTGTGTTGATCCAAGAGACATTATAAAATTTGGTTGGGTGCTGAGAGTTTAATTTCAAGTCAATTTTAGCTAACGATAGACTTTATATCATATTATGTGAGTCTTACAATTTAAGATTACTGAACTATTAGGTAATATTTGAGTTTCGACCGGGACCGTTTGTTATTTTATGACAAACCATCTGGTTAGACAACTCATTTTTTATTTGCTTTTTTTGTGGCGTCGTTTATGGTAGAACCATGTGGTCAGAGAACGTGCTATATTTAATTTTGTAAAATTTTTTTGAGTGATGGATGCCCTCTTTTTGTGGCATTGGCTCTTTATGAGCTTTGATTAATTTAAAATTTATTATTTTCAACAAATTGGTATGGTGGATTCACGGATTATTGCTCTTTTGCTTGAAGGGATGGATTTTATTTTTTATTTTTCCTGATATTTTTGCTTGAATATGAGCCTTGATGCGTGCTAGAAAATTAGCGACGTTAGAGTAATGAATTATCGTCTTAGCGTTGCACGAAGATTGAACACACTCAAATGAAAGAAAATCAATCTGTGATGACACCATAAGTTTTTATGTGAAAAACCCGTAAAAGGTAAAAACCACGGGGTCTGACCCAATTATAAAAATTCTCTATAAATTGATGATTACAGAGACCCCTTGTCCCACAAATAAGAAAGAGTTACTAGATTTTTCAAGGTACAATATCAACTGACGACGCCTGATTAGCGGTGGTTGACGACAGTTGATGACGGTCGGCGATGGTCGACGGAGGTTAGCGGCGATCGTCGGTAGTCGATGACGACCGACAGAGGTCAGTGGTGGTCGATAACGGTCTGCTATGGTAGGATGATGTTGAACTTAAGCTCATTCTCAAAGTCCCAAGTTCTCTCTCAAGCTTCCCTCCCTTTCATGTGAGAGGTGAGACTCTATTTATAGTGTTTTGGGTGCAATTAATGCAGGAACATGAACCATTTTGATCAGACGGTTCAGAGAGCTTCCCTCGATCGGATGAAGTTTTATGGATATTTGAGTGCCTTAACGATGACAGAATTTTGCAATCTTGGGCTCGTTGGATTCGTCTTGTCGAGACACTCGATTCGAGTATGAACTCGTTGAATTCAACATTCGTTTGGTCTTTCAAATGTGTTCGGAAATCTTTCAAAAATGATTTAATCACTTGATCTGGGGTTGATTTGACTTGGATTGGACTAATTTTGATATCATTTGGTCTGTCACATCGAGTCGGTCAATTTCACTATAAGTTTGCTTAAATCGGAGCTCTGGATGATTTTTAATTGAAGTTTGAATGTTTCTTGCTCAAAATGTTACGTTGAGATTCGTGTCATGCCTGAAAATTCGTGATGGATGATGAAAATTTGTTGGTGGCGTATCAAGCCTAAAATGATTCACTTCAATATTTGGAGTGCATTTTAGTACTACTCTTCTTTACAGTGGAGATTTTCTATTAAAAAAACCATCATCAGGGTATTTGAGTGGTCTAGTTTTGCACTTTTGAATCTTCTTAACTCTGCTAGTTTGCTTGTAGGGGTTCAGGTCTATGATTTGCATGACTTAAATGCTTTTTGAAAATGCATTATGTTACCAGCTTTGTCAACTTTGTTTTTGCACGTAGTGAATTTGTTTATAAGTTGAACTTATTATTATGTTATAGGAGTGTAATGGTATCGAGAGTTGTTCTGAATTTAATTTTCTTTGTAAAAAAGGCTTCTAAGTTCATAAATGCGGTTGATAAAATACCTTTTGTGAGATTTGCTGGAGAGATATTTAATTCTTAGTTTCCAATGCTCATGGAGGATCGAACTTTCCACTCGTGCAAGAACCTCTGTCACGTTTGAGCTTGAATTAAAAAAAAAGTTTAAATTTTAAAAATAGTTGCAAGTATTTAGAGTAACTTCATGCCTCTCAAGGTTGGGGGAATTCAAGATTCTCTTTTTTTAATTTGTATGTTAGTCTCTAACATTACGTTAGTGCGTTAAACATGTTAGTTGGAGCGCATGTACAATTTTTCAGTATTCCATTTCAGTTGAAAGTTATTTTCATGTTATACACGGACTTGAGGATTCTCTTGATTTGGTTATTTGTGTGAGATCTTTGTTATTGGATGGGCACAGATATTTCAATTTTAGCTTTTGAAGATCACCTTATGTTTGCTTGTGTGTACGTGTTGTAAATCTAGTGGCATGTTTTACGAATTAGGGTCATATCACTGGATTTGAGAACGAACACTTTCATGCTGAATCATTTTATTTTACCGCGGTGGCTCCACAGGGAATCAATTCACTTGGAATCAAGAATTAATTACACAACAAAAATGGATTGTTGTTATCCATGAATTGTTGGATTGCTGTATACGGAAAGCTGCTATCCGATAATTTTATTGGATTTGTCTAGATGGAAAGGTGTTGCCTATGTATTCTGGATTATTTTAATAGTTACCAACAGCTTTATTGTCCAACCATCACATCCATATAGCATAGTGCATAACCATCTAATTGCAACTTACTAAACATAACTTTTTATGTTTTAATAATATTCTCTTATTTAATATTTCCCTTTTTTTAACTATTTATTTTTAAATCCATAAGCTATGTTTTTGGCATCCCTACCTTCTAGTTTTGGTAAGAACTGCACCTCACACTTGGCTTTAAGTTGTCTTCTAGCACTAATCAAGTTTTGCTAAATAGAGTGGTTTTACCTGAACTTCTTATGTTTCCAGAGTCGTATATAGATAACCATTTGGTTAAACAAAAGGCTCCATAACTTCATGCGTTCTTGGCTGGGAGATTTGGTTTGCTCTTTCAATAAGTCTTGCTATCCTTGAATCACACAAGCCTACTACATGAAGGTTTGAATGTTTTAAGTTTTGCTATTCATTCATATTTAACTCTCTATTTTCAGGTATTGTATGAGTTTAGTCCGTTTTGAAGTTCCAGAATTGTGGCGCTGTGAGGAATGTTTACGGAGTGCTGAAGCAATTAGTAATAGAAATTTACCAGAGCACCAATTTTGGCACAAAGGAAATTTGAGGAAAGTTGAAGCTGGAAAAGTAAAGTTTATCACCAATGAAGAAGTGGTTACATTGGCATCGGGGAGAAGGTCACATGGAAGAGGAAATCCAAGTGCTTTTGGCCACCATAGCGATTTTACATGTTTTAATCGTCCTCCAATATCATGCAAGACAGTTGCTTCTACATTTCCCAAGTCGAAGGTGATTATGGCCCCTTCTTGTCCAAAGAAAGGGCCTGTTTATGTTGGTGTTGGCTTCTCTCCTTCAAAGCGCAATGAGCCATCAAAATCTGTTGTTAACAAGGAAAAAGGTAAGGAATTTTAAAAAAAGAAATTTTGGTAGCCGTTAATTAGCCTTATATTGCTTTGTTTTGAAGGTTTTCTTTTCAAAATTTTGGTGAATGGCTCAATGCTAAGCTTGCATGCTTACCATGTATTTTAATTTTGGAAAATATACATATCTAGCGCACAATTTTATGTATTTACATATTTCACCCCTATACTTCCATATTTACATACATAGCATGATGCGGGGCTCCTTGGTGCAACAACTGTCGCATGATCTTTTGATGCTAGCCTTCCACCCGCAACTCCAGATCAGCTCTAAATCTTGCCTAGACAACCTGGAATTGAACTTGTCCAAACCTAGGAGGGTCGTCCCGTTCTTCCATGATGGTTCTACATTCCTTCTTTCCATAGGGAGACGATCTTATTTATCTAAGGCTTATATATTTAATTTCTGTGTTTTAGGCTTTGACATTTGATGTGTTTTTTGTCAGGACAGTTCCCAATGTCCATTTTCTTTTTCGAGGGCAGTATTCAAGGGTTTGAGTGGTGCTTCTGATGTATCTAACTCCCAAAGTAATTATTATCTTCTCTATCATCTTCCGCATCCTTCCCACATCACTCTATTGCTGCAGCTGGCCCTTAACAACAGCCTGCTCATCTTTTCACCGCACTTTTTCATTTCCAGCCTCTTGTCCTCGCCACCGCCTCCCCAGACAACCGCCAACTTATTGTCTTGTTCCCCTTCTTCCCCTATCGCTGCCTCCATCATTCCTTCTGGCTGTCACAACCCTGAAAAACCACTTATTTGCTTTCATCTCTAGTTCCAATATGCTAGTCACTCGTTCCCCATTCTAGCTTGTTACCATCGCCCAACTCCTCCCTTTCGCCTCTGTTTATCACGACTTAACACGGGCTTGGAATTAACCAAGACAGGAACCGATGATTGGACGGTAGATATTAAATTTTTTATTTTCGTGTGTCGGCCGTTTTAATTTTGGTTTTGAAAAATATTGAAAAAATATGAAAATAGTTTTGATATGAATATGATTTTTGAAAGTAATGTTTTGATTTAAAAATAGGTGAAGACCAAACGAGTCTAACATTTTGGATAGTTTGGGTGACTAAGCACGGTACCACAAGTAATACATTTATCCCGAAGAATAAACATATCACCTGTAGTAGACTCAATCACCTAAACTAAAGAATTTGTGACATTCGTTTGGTCTGCGAAATATTTTATATGAGGCTAACAAGTTGCCCTATCTAATACGAGGATTAAATATAGTTTATTTTACCTGAGTTTCAAGTTCTCTATAGAGGCAAACCCTTATAATTAATTACATCTTAAATGACTTGGGTCACTTAAGAAAACCCTCGATTAAGATCAGTGGTTTTGCCTTCAAGATTTTAAAGTTTATGTTTCCAAGATTGGACATGGGAAGATCAAATAAGAATGACTCAAAATAGGGACATTTATTTTAAGGAATCCAAAGGAATGAAGAGTATGAGATATCACGGATCCGGGGAGAAACTCCAGTGACTTCTCAACTATCCTGTTGTTTGGCTTTATGTTTTTTTTAACATGATGCTTATTTGATATTTTAATCCTACAAATTATTTAGAATTTAGGACTTATATTCGCACGATATGTGATCGTGCAAATAACATAAAAAGATGGGAGGATTTACTTTGTACCAGACGGTAATCTCGGAATTCTAAAGTGTTATGACTTATAATTACACAACACGGTTGTGTAAAAAGCCTAAAATGTGATCCTATGGGTTGTTATTTAAACTAAAGAGGGTGATAGGTGATATTTTGATGTTGTTCCTCGTCGTGCTGCTCACGATGTTCGCTCCAAGCTCATCGGGGTAGCACCTCCAGGTTTGTTGTTAATCTTATATATAACCACTAGGTTTTCCTATACTAAGGTATAATGTGTATCAAAGCAAATTAAACATGTGATATAAAAGAAGAAAGAAATAATATAACATGCTAGGTGAATAGTATGACAGGCTAGGAGAACAATATACATGCCAGAAAAACAGTATAACATGCTAGGAAAATAGTATAATAGGCTAGGAGAACAATATAACATGCTGCGAAATAAAATGCTGTAATGTAAATTAAACCTGTATATTTGAGAGGGTTGCTGCCCCTTTAAGCTTAGCTAGTATATGATGTGTAAATAAGAGAAAACACGACCTGAAAAACTCGAGAAAACTGACAAATCGTAGAAAAAAGACAAACAAACAAAACAAAACACAATATCACATATAAAGGACTAGGAATAAGAGATTTATATGTGATATTGAGAATGTCCCAAATTGCCAGGATGATCTGAGTGTAAGATTCAAGCTCAAATCCCAGAACATTAAGTTTCATTTTTGGTCAAGTTAAGACAAGAATTTCATTATTTGATTTAATTAAATCAGTCATGAACCACAACCTAGTGCACCTTCGTGTCTAGTGTCCTAATTAACTGATGAACTAGGGTCAGATGTCTGGCTTCTTAGGTTCATTTGAAAATTAGGATGATGAACTCTCTCTCAGGGTAGATTCCTAAGACCTAGGAATCCTACACTTTAGTTTGAGCCTAAAGTGTTCTAAAGTGTTTATCTTAAATTAAGTGTCTTTTAACTAATCCTTGAACATCTTTAGATCAAGCTTAGCTTGCTATCAGACTCCTAAGACCTAGGGGTAAACCTATAATTTTGGCAAATGAGTTGTGAAATGTGCTTCAATCCTAGTTAAAACAATTGAGTTTAAGTTTATTCAAAACTTAAGGGGCCTAAATGCAAGTCTACTGATCTTTCAATACATGCTCTTAATCGTCATTTAAACTCTTACTTTCTTTCAACTCTCGACTATTCTTTCAATTACAATTTCATCTTTCTTATGCAAAAGGAATGGTGAATGGTTTGCTATCTTATCTATCTTTAAGTTTCTATCATCTCAGCAGACTAAATTTCATTTTTAATTTCCTCTTCCTTTCTCTTTTATTCATATTTTCTTTAAGACCATGAATCATTTTCGAAAATAATTAAATCGGAAATTCTCGTTTTTAACTTGACCGTTAAAAAAAAAAAGAAAACTAAACAAACGAAAAGGTGGCCAATCCACTTTTAAAACAAAGTCAAATCGGTAAAGCTTAAAACGAAATCGTAAGTGCATCGACCTAAAGACGTTTAAACTCGTTAAAAAAAAGACCGAATCATTCTCAAAAAGGGGTTTAAGAGCCTCAAAATGTAATATAAATCTTCACGAATAAAGCTTCAGAATGTGGCGAATAAAAATTTTAAAATGTAGCCCAAACATATTAGTAGAAAGTGTTCCAAGTATGGCTCACCTAATCAATGAACCGACCTTCATAGCAAAGGTGAAAATTCACCACATTATGATTTGCGGCCAGGGACAATGAAGGGGAAAACTAATCCCGAACAAAACATCTTCAATCATAAAAGAATTAAAGGAAAAGATCCACATCCAGGAGAAATGAAAAAAAAAGCTAAATCCGAGCCAAATACAATACTGACAGCAGCAATGAAGCTCACGACCAAAGGCAGAAAAGAGGGAAACAAACCCCATGCACGACCACGAATAGTGAAAGAGAACCCTCATGGGTATTATCATTACACTGACTTTGATATACATAGAAGAGTGAATGGTCAAGCACGACAAAGAAAGAAAAACATCCCAAAAACAGGCTTTCAAATAGCTCACGATTAAGGCTCACAAAAGGAACAAAATCACCACAAAGCCAGCCATCAAATAGCCACCAAACAACATCTATATGGGCCCAATCACCAACTACATGAGTACAACAGTAATTACAACACCCAAACATCTAACTACAACAATTAATAACACTTTTAAGCTTCCAAACTGCTCCAAACAGCAATTCTGAACTTCCTACAACAAACCTATTAGTTTAAAAGCTCCCAAACAATCATTAAATTAGCTCCAAACAAGCTTATGGGCAGAGCCAGGAAAAGGGGCAACCCAAGCCCAATACAAAGGCAAACCAAGCTCAAGAAATATTCCAAAACCTCAGCCAATATAAATCATCAAAGGAAGCTTGAACCAAGCCAAAGAAAAGCGCAACCCGAGCCCAATATAAGGGCAAATCAAACTCAGAAATAGTCTAAAACATAAGAGACTTCAGCCGATATAAATCATCAAAAAACAGAGCCCAAACCGAGTGTCGGCGCTTAAAAAGAAGGGGAAGGGAAA